TAATCATCGTCAAACAGAATTGAGTATCCACTAAGCATTAATTGTCCAATGCTAAGTAGATTATGAGATAAATCAGGAACAAACAACACATCTTGTAAAATCTTAGCATTCCCTTGACTAGTTTTAATGCTTATGGTATCTTTGCCTTCAACTCGAATCTTCTTGCTGTCTCCTAGCATCACATCTGTTTTATCGGACTCATCAAGTTCCTTAAATAATGATTTTGTTCCACACATATGGTTAAAACAACTGCTGTCCAAAAATCAAACATTGTTAGACTGCTCTCTCTCTCAAAAAAGAGTCATGAACAACTTACTTTCTTCATTTGGTTCCTCTGTAAAACTTGCTTGGTTGTTCTCATCTTTTTATTTTTTCCAACAATAAGCCTCTCTATGATCTGGTGTGTTATAGTAGTAATATTTAAAGATCTTCCTTTGCCTCTCTTCATTAGATGCGCTTCTGTCTGCACCTTTTCATTGGCCTCTTTCATGAAAGCCACCTTTGCCACTGCCACTGCCACTGTCACATCCAGCAGCATTTTCATGCATCTCCCCCTTCACCTGAAAGGCTTTTTCTTCATTCTTTTTATATGACCTAAGCAATCTGTCTTCATGAGCTTATAAGGAACTCATTAGCTCATCAAATGAATAATTTGATAAATCATGGGCTTCCTCAATAGCAGCAACAATATATTCAAATTTAGGAGTAAGACTCCTTAATACTTTTGCAACAACCATTTCTATATAAATCACTTCACTATACGACTTCATTTGATTAACCAGAGAAGAAACTCTAGACAAATAAGCTTGAACAAATTCATCATTTTTCAAGAATAGAGTTTCAAATTCACGACAGCATGTTTGCAACTTTACCGTGATTACCTTCGAGGAGCCTTGGAACTCCTTCTTCAAAATTTGTCAGGCCTCCAAAGATTTTGCTGCTGTTGCAATTTTTGAGAAAATTGTTTTATGGACAGCTTGTTGAATTAGGAATAAAGCTTTGGCATCATTCTTTTTGGTTTCTTTCAATCTTTCTTCTGCCTCTTCATCTGGGTCTTCTAAATCCACGAACCCATATTCGACCAAATTCCAAAGATCCTGAGACTTGAAAAGAGTCTTCATCTTAATACTCCAAAACTCATACTTTTCACCTGTGAAAATCGGTATGAGCGGCTGTGAGGATGATGAAAAAACGTTTACTGCCATCTCTGCACTTTCTCTTGTGTTTCCCTACACTCCCCAAAACCTTTTACTCAATTGCCCAAAAGACCAGAGCCTGGCTCTGATACCAGATTTGATGGAAAAAGATTAAAGCAAAAAAAAAACCAGAGCAGGAAAAGCAAACTTAGCAGAACCTGTAAGCCTTTTTTTTCTGATTCCAGTCTATGTAAAACAAGC